AGTTTTTAATACCGAATTGGATGCTGATGCGACGATACCTTTGGACGTAAGGTATTTGAGCGTTTCTGGACCGGCAGCGATTATACAGTATCCGCATTGCACGCCAGGTAATTTTCCATGGATCCAAATAAAGCATTTTGTATTAACACTTGAGTACGTATTCTTCGAAATGAACACAAATGATACAAAATAAAAAATCAAAACTAGATTTGAATATTTAGAAAACGTTAACCTTAAATTTTAACTAGTTTGTTTTATATGTAAAGTTAAGTTAATTAACCATAAAATATTTTTTTCATTTTAAAGAGTTACTTTTTTATTTTGGCGGTGTTAAAATTACATTTCATATTTTCCTACATTAATAAAATAAGTTTTTATGCTATTATATGAAATGATAATTGTTCAGTTAGACTTTTAAATAATAAAGAACACATGTTTTTACAGACTGTGAAGAACATATTACAATTAATGAAGATAATTATAGAATTTGGCCACTTAGTAAAAACGAATTTTCAGGTTCAGAATTATTATTTTACGTTCGTACAGTGCAATCCGCTACCATTTCTTACTACACGGCCCCTGCAAAACATATACCAAAATTAAAGGTATGAAAAAAGTTGATTTCAATGTACTTATTTACTTAACCGAATACAATGAATACAACTGACGTTTAATCAAAGAGCTTCATATTATATTAAAACTCTTATTATAAGAGAAATTCCCTTATATTACTAATCCCCCTAACATAGTCGCGCCTAGAGGTGTGTTAAAGGGATTTAAGCACACCCCTCCAAAAAAAAAAGATATTGGTTTGGTCATTCAACTGTTGATACAATTAATTTTGTTATATTTTAAATTTTATTGTTGTATTTATAATGTTATTTAACAAAATTTTATTGTTGTAAAAATAATAATTTTGAAAAAAAATGTTGTATTCTACCGGATAATTATAGACATCTAAATATATTTATATGTGCAGATAACAATAATTATTTTATTGTATGATTGCATTTCATTTTATAATGATTGAAATTTTCGTTTTAATTGTGCATGTCTATGCTAAAAATANATAATGATTGAAATTTTCGTTTTAATTGTGCATGTCTATGCTAACGTGGATAGTGTAGAGGTGATGCCCCAAACTAAATATTTAATATGGTAAACAAAGTCAAAACTATTTCTTTTTAGCACCCTCAGAAATTTTTATCTAGCTTCGCCTTTGCCTCCAGATACATATAATAAATTTAAGGTTATGATATTTCAACAAAATAATAATAGATTAATTTTAGATAGTAATCGAAGGACAACCAACGAATCAAATAATTATTTCATACTTTGAAAATTCAACAGATGGAGAGTTTGAAATTTTTCATAAATTATTCGACAAAGAGGAATTAGTTTCATATTGGCAATGGCACCACTATTCTATCACGTAATATATATTTATGTTAATAAATTCATAAAAATTGAATAACCAAAGAAAATATGTATTTTAAATATCGCTTATTTAAAAATTACTGTACAATCAAAACATTTTACGAGTAGAGCTTTTTTATCTCTATTAATGTTTATATTTTATCTAATGAATAATTATTTTTTATTTATTATTATATATTTGTAATTCAAATAAATTAACTCATAAATTATACCACTGTTAAAAATAATATTTAACTTTAAAATTTAATTAATTTTTTTTGAAATCGTATACTCTTGTATGTATTATTTTATATTGGTGAAATATTTATTAATTTAATTGGATACACTGATTTTAAGTACTTTTTTTAAAACATTTTTCAAATTATTTTACAATTTTTTTATTTTTTAGAGTTGTACTATAATTACTTTTACGCGATAAAAAATAATTGTAATACTTATCTATATGAAATAAGTACATTATTGTTTTTAATTGATTTTTTAATCAACTTATTTAACATGTAATAACAATATAATGAAAATCACAGAAGAAATATTATGAACATAATTTATCACAAACAATATAAAATTGTTTACATTTTATAGAATTATAGACAAATCGTTGCAAGTTTAAAAACTGAATATTAATAATAAAATGATCACTTTATTAAAAATCACTGACTTTAAAATACAATTTCTTCATTGGTTTGGAATAGGTACCAAAAATGTGGGTCATTGGACACTTTATTGCAGTGGACCAGAGAGTAAATATAGCAAAATTCAAGTTATTCATTTATCATTATTATAAGTTTTCTTCCAATTACAATAAAATTGCTATTAATTAATACTAAAAAGATATTTCTCGCAGATTATCCCTTACCCCAAGCAGAACTACCAGAATGTACTATATCATTATCTGGTTATCAATATAGCGGATCACAATGGATTACTGAAAACGGGGAACAATGCCTTCCTTGGAACATAACAGAGCTGCGCAAAGTAAGTCAATTATTCATATAATAATTATAAAATTGATATGCTCCAAATAAATGAGATATAAGTCTATGCACTTATTTTCACATAGACACTAAACTAAATAAGAAAATATTTAATATGGTAAACAAAGTCAAAACTATCTTTCAGTAACAAAAAATAAAACGATTAAATTAGTGAGTTATACAAAGAAAGATATGGATAATGGCTTGAATACTAAAAAATTTAAATATAAAAACATTTCTTCGTTAAAATTTAATAAGTTAATAATGCAAATATTTTAGTTAAATTAACTATTTATTTTACAAACATAATCTTGAATTCTGAGATAACTAATAATTTTATAATTTTTTTCATAATGAACCAAATACCAAATAACTAATAAAATTGAACAAACAGAAAATTATTGAATATATAACAACATAAAAAAAATAAAATTAATGTTTTATCAAACAACGACAAATCAATCTTCATAACATCTTAGATTTGTTGACTTAAATTTTGTTTCCCTTGCTGAAAATAAAAATTCAGATTTTCAAGACTTGCATCAATAAAAGCTTAGTTTTCAAATATGACAAACGCAAAACTCTCTCTATTGCTAAATTTAAATTTCAATTTAGTTTTGAGTACTTTTGATTTTGAAGTGGTTTTAAGTTTTTTTTTTCATAAAATTTATATAAAACAAATAAAATTTAACATAGTAACAATGAAATTTATCAATTTTCATGAGACATATAAAAAAAATTGCATCATAATAACTTTTTTTACATTTATATAAAAATAATAATAAAATCCAAGCAAAATGTTTATCGAATAATGCGATAATTACTTGTGTTTAATGTTCACCAATAAACAAATCATTGTTTCTAAGGAAATTAAAATATTATTTTTTGAAAAACTGTTTATAATTATAACATTTCTTAACTATCAAAAATCTCATGATGAAATTTCTCATTTCATAAACATTTATGTAGATTTTCGATACAAATATCATGAAGAATGAACATTTTAATGATCTAAGTAGTTAATATAAGACAGAAAAAATTTCGTCTAGAATTCTTATTTTAAAAAAAATTATTATAATGCAATATTATTTCTACGTCTCATAATGATTGATAAATTGAATTGTTACTATGTTAAATATTATTTGTTTTATATAAATTTTATGAAAAAAAAACTCTTAAATAAAAAGTACTCAAATTAAATAAAAATTATAATTATTCTATTTTAATAAACAATAAAATTTCCCTATAATAAAATTATGATTTCTTACACAAAATTATCTACGAACTTTTATTCATAGACATTTTAAAATAAGTTAGTTTTAACAGATTGTTGAAAAATTAAATAATATAAAATAGTTTAATATATTAACTAATAATATTAATTGTCAAATAGAAAGTAGATGAAAAACTTTTAATTGACGGAAATTATGTAGCAGCTAATAATTACTGTCGAAACCCTACCAAAGATCCTAAAGGACCATACTGTTTTATAGATACCAATGGGACTGTTACTCAAAGACAGTGTCTCATTAGAAAGTGTCGAAATACAGGTAAACAAAATTTTTATATTTACTAACAACCAAGTTAATATAAAATTGTAATTTATACATTTTAATTTTATATCATTTGTAATTTAAGAATGTCACATTGCTGGATGTGGTACAGACTACATCGGTACTTTGAATATGACTTTATCAAAAAGAAAATGTTTGAAATGGGCAAGTTTCATTATTCATATATGCATTAAAACTTATTAGTTTTTATTAAAGTATAAAAATAATTTTAACATAATTATTTAATATTATGAAATAAATTATGCTATTTAAAATATCTTCTACAAAATGAAATGATTAAAAAAAATTATAAAATTATAATATATTAGCTCTTATTAACCAAACTGAGTATATTAATTTTCAGAATTTATTTCATAAAGATAGGAAAAAAAAAATTTTACAATTAATTAAATCATAATGATTGGTAAATAAATAACTTGATAAATTAAAAACAAACATGTTTTTATGGATATACAAAAAAATGATTATTCGAAAAATGTTATCCAACGTTCATATCATACCCCATATTATAATATTTTTATACATTAANTTAATTAAATCATAATGATTGGTAAATAAATAACTTGATAAATTAAAAACAAACATGTTTTTATGGATATACAAAAAAATGATTACTCGAAAAATGTTATACAACGTTCATATCATACCCCATATTATAATATTTTTATACATTAAAATAAGTTATAAATTATGATTTATAATATACGCCTAACTCGTAATGTTACATTAAAGATATTTCTTTAAATAAATGTAATTTATAATTAACAATTTGCTAAATAATACAAAATTTAATATGCATAATATGATAAAAAATAAAATTTAACCATGCTATTTATATTTTGCTTCCCTTCATTATTAATATAATCTTCATTTTATTTTTAGACAAAAAATAAAAGTTTTTTAACAAACGTTTTTCCTGATAATTCTGTAAAAGAAGCGTCTAACTACTGTAGAAACCCATCAAAAGAACCTACGGGAGTTTGGTGTTATACTGGTGACTTAGCTGAAACAGATTTATGCGACGTGCCCAGTTGTGTAACTGACGATTCAGCAGCATTAATAGTAAACACAAACGCAGATAAAAAAATTCATTGGGTTTACGTGTTACCCGAATGGAGAGTATCTGGAATAAAAGTCCGGCTAAAGTATTGGATACCATTAATTTATGAAGGAATCACGATATACTTTAAAAGTCAAAATGACTCTTTGGGTTATTGTGGGCTAGAAATAGGAGCAGAAAAAAATGAAAAGCTTCAGTTTTTTCGAGTAGATAAATTTAGTAATAGAATTTCATTAGAAGATCAAGTTTATCCACATTTGTTAATGGCCAGTAAATGGCGAGAGTTTGTTATCACTTTATTAGCCACTGGTTCAATTGAAATGCGATCTGTAGAAGATGAAGTAATTATTAAACAATGGGCGGAAGCATTTGAAAAAAATAACCGAATTACGTTTATTGGGATTTCAACGATCACTAATGGATACACTGGAGTGCGATTCATAAATGAAGGTTCACAAACTTTGTTTTTTTACACAAAATTTTTTTAACGAAATTATTAATGAAAAATAACAGTTAATATTTTTATACAATTAATACCATTAAAACTTCATGTTTTTTTTTTTGTAGATTGTTTAACTCATATTGTCGAATCAAAAGAATTTTCTGTTTATTTACCAATTAGATTTCAATCCAATGTCGGATTAAGTAGAATTGAAAACAAAATTGACTTTTATTTCAGACACAACGGTACATTTAAATAAAAAATATAGACATGTTCAAGTCTTAAAAAAAATATTTTGTGATAAATACATAATTGTAATTCCAATTTAAAGAATGTATATATTTTTTTAATTTTAAGGTACAACACGTTTAGCACTAATACAACAACAATTAAACAAAGGCTACTTGATAGAAATTGAAAATCGCGTCATTACTTTATTGTGGAGGTCAATGGGTAAGAAACCGAAATTGTTAGAGTCAAATACATTTAATGTGAATATAATAAAAGAACATTCTTGGAGTCATATTGGATTGAGGTTGCCAATTTTTAGGAACTATATTATTGTTATTATTTTTATTATTGACTTTATACAGTTGGGACGAAAACACGTTGTGGATAAACTGCAGTGAAGGCTTACAAATGTGGACTTTATCAGGTAAATCCGCTCCGCTGTTGGTACGTTATTTTTCAGTCGCTAATCGTGGAGGTCAAACAACATGGACTGTGAATTGTAATCCACCAGACATCGATGGAACTCCCAGAAATGGTGGCTGGAGCGATTGGGGTGAGTGGGAACAATGCTCGAAAACATGTGGTACCGGCATGGGTATTCGATACAGACAATGCGATAATCCCAAACCAAACATGTTTGGAGAACCATGTGTTGGCCCCACTGAGTTTCCGGGTAAATGTAATGAACACGAGTGTGGACAGCTATCTAAAAAAACCATAAAAAATATACAGGATAGAATCAGACAAAAAACGTATAACTTGCACGCGGTCGAAGGCGAAAAACTAATTTTGGTGTGTAATAAGAACTCTGTTAATGCTGTAAAAGTGGACTTAGTAAATCCAACTTTTGATTGGATCAAAAATGGAAAACTTTTGGAAAAAGGGGGAAAAAATGTCGAAAATGATGGTTGTAAACTAGGTAAAAGATATTTATTAAAATTTTTTTAATATTTGATTGGCAGTATAATATTTTTACTTCTTAGTTATTCATAAATGTACAAAAAGTGATTCAGGAGTTTATGCTTATATTGTTCAACCCCTTAATAGGCAAAAAGTCATTTTAAAAATAATTGCGGTGACTATAATGGAATCTCCCACTTATGCATATATTGGAGACATAATTCAAGTGCAATGCAATGCAATTACATTAGGTTATTTATTTAAAGACTTATCTCAACAGTGGGTGTTAAACGATACGTTCGTTATAAAAAATTATGGAATCACATCGTTAGCTATTGTAAGTTACTCATGTTTTGATTAGGAGTTAATTTAATCTTTTCAAATGATTTAATAGGTTGATATTGACAAAATTGTAATCGAAAGTATGAACTTTCAAGGTAAGTGGACATGCGTTGTAAAACACAGTGCAATGAACAGTACTTGGATAACCGAAGCTAAATTTGTTAAAGGCATGTATTAAATAGTATCAAAACTATATCATAAATCGAAAAATATAATAATAATAATTTAGTATTAGGTCAGTCGACACGATGGACACGAATTATGCAAGACCCTCTCATAAGAACTATATTTTGGAAAGTCAATTCACCAATAATAATAAGTAGGTTATGTATTATATTGATTGTGGTCGTATTCATATGTACTTGGGGAGGCGCTGTTATGTTTCACAGGTAAACAATAGGAATGAGTTCGTTTTCTTCATATAATATATACCATTTTATTAATATTTTCAAATTTCAGATGGCAAAAACAATTGACAATATTACCTAAAAAAAATCAAAATTATCAACAGTTAAAAATTTGACATGATATATATTTTGAAGATGAAATCGTAAAATGAAAATAATTTACATTTATCAATCTAGTTGATATTAAACGTCAGTTATTTGTTTAATTTTTACTTGGTTTTGTTTGTATTATTGTTTTTTACTTTAAAAAATATGCTAATACATTTATTTATTATTATTTTTTAAATTATTATCAACATGTAAAAATGAATGTTCATGGAAAAATAGTGTTGCAGCTGCAACATAATAGTGTGTTGTTAACTTAAAAGTGTGTACTCGGACCGGTTTAATCATTATCACGCGACTACTCCCTACTACTCAAGTAGTAGTGGATATCGCTACTACCGGCCGATCAGCTGTTCACACACTACACACCAAACACAGCACATAACCGCAATAAAGTATAATACAACATTGTATTGTGTAATAATCAGTATATATACATTTTTGGTTTTTTATTGTTGAATTTCTCATTTATTTTTTTTGTGTGAAAACGTAATCTAATTTTTGTAAAAAGAAGAAGTTATTTTAATATCATAGAATTGATAATATACAGTTTAAATAAAAAATATTGTTGCACTAACTGTGACTTCTTTAAGCTACTAATTGGCTGACAGAAGAACTTATTGTAGTTTGTTGCTACTAATTAGCAAAATTAAACTAGTCAATTGTGATATTTAAATTTGAGTTACCAAATTGTAGTCTTAAGTTCATTTGTTATTATTGTGATTCGTGTTTTAGTTTTAGGTAGCATCTCTGGCAAGCAGCTCTGCGAATTGTGAGTACCATTGTTATTTATGTATTATTCATTTTTCTTTTTCTTTTTCTCAATTTAGCGTAGTTATTATTGAATTAAATTTTGTTTATTATAATTATTGAACTGATTTAGTGCTGTCATTGAAGTTGTAGAGTTATTTTTTGTCATTATTCTGTTATATTTTTAGAGTTCATATTTTCATTATTATTTGTTGAGCCAGAAGGGCTATATTCATCTAGTCAACTCATTTATTAAATTATTAATTATTATAAAGTTTTTGTTGAGATATTTATTTATTTAGTTAATTAAGTACACACAAAACAATTACACACTAACACATCTGTCACTACATAGATCACTGGTTGCTGCGCAGGCGACCCCTCCCACCTCCAGTGATTCTAGTTACATACATCACACTACGCAGCCTGATCGGCATTGGTGCAATTAGCCGGTTCGGGTACGCACTATAATATTTAGTGCCCCTGGCCCCAACAAATATATTTATTTATAATTCAAACGAACATGATCCAATTTACAATACATTAATACATTAATATAACAACAATAATATAATACTTTGCTCTTTCCTGCAGACATGATTATTGCAATTTTTCAAGTTCTTTACAATGGCTAATGTTATTATGATACCAAAGGTTTCATATTCTAGTAAAGAATAGACTAGTTAGGTCAATAAAAACATTTGAAGTTGAGTGAATCAAAAAATTATAATGATTTTGTTATATTATACCAAATACCGCTAACGCCTTGTTTTTTATATTTGACACATGACAACTAAATATTAGTTATGAATCAAATAAGACACCTAAGTCTTTACTAAATGAAGAGCGATGTAATCTAATGTTGAAAATACAATAATATGTTCAAAAATATTAATTTGTTATGAAACCAACCTTAAATGAAACCTTAAACTAATAAAATGGTTAAATATATAAATCAATAATGAGATATACAAGTATTAATCTTAATGTAATAAATCTCAAAAAAAATTTGTGTATAATATTAATAAATATTTTATTCTATTAATAAATAAACTAAGTGTATTTTAATATCAATAAAACAATAATTACCACGTTTTAAATTATTTTCTCAAATAATAATTTTTTAAATTTTAATGATTTATTAATAATATTACACAAAATTTCTATTAAGAAATTTCCACAAAATCTAATAAATTAAAAATTTTTAAACATATTAAATCATATTAAACAAAATTATTGAACTATTTACTAGTTTAATGAAAAATGCATTATAAAATTAGTTTAAAATAATTTTTATGCTATTTTATCAATAGACATACTTTATGTAATATTAGTTGCTGTATTTATAAACTCAAACTACTACCACACTTTAAGCATCTCTGTTGATAAAGTCATAATTTTTTCTCATATTTTCTCTCATCTAATCCATGACTGACACTACATATATACTCGCTCTTATATGTTCGTTCTTTATCGTATCTTCTTTAGTCACTTCACTCCTCAACCTAAGCATTCTCATCTCTGTTACACTCATTTTCTGCTCTACTTCCTTGTCAACTGCCCAACACTCTGAACCATACACCATATTTGGTTTCACTACAGTCTTAAAGAACTTATCTTTCAACCTCATTAAAATTCTATTTTCGCATCTTCGTCAACACCACCGTTATTTTGCATAACTGATGCTAAATACTTAAAACTTTCCACCTCTTCTATCATGTCAACCCTTATTGTCAATGATCTCCTCATATCAACTACCTCGTGTTGTCTTTTGTCAAATTTGTACTCTATATAAATCCCTATTTTCTCCTATTAACAATATTTCCTAACTATTTCTATTAATTTACTTTTAATCCCCTTATCCATTACTAAACTTACACAATTGTTTGTATTAGTCTTACCTGAGTATAATATTTTATAACCCTCTACTATTTCCCTTGCTTTCTATTCGGGTGTTCATCGTTTCCGCCAAATCTGATTAAGGTAGGTTTTTAGTTTCCGCCAAACCGGTAGTTTATACCTGTCTATAAATAGAAGCTTGAGAACCACTGGTTAAAATATATGCCAAAATAACCCTATAATAATTATCTACTATTCATTTAATCGAACTTTTTTATTGTTATTAGATAGCAGTGCATTGATAATAATGAATCATTTCATTCACATTTTAATGAACAATTTTTTAAGGCGTATCCTTTATTTATAATTTTTTTTTAATTTTAATAAAAAATATTTAGTCTTATAATTACATTAATATATATAGTTTTGATAATGCAGTCTCAAAAAGCGTACGGAATAAAATTGAAATCCGTTTCAGAAAAACAAAAGAGATAAGTGATAAATTTGAATAGTTGAAAAAAATCGGTTCGGTGAGAACTGAAAAAGAGTGGTAACAGACACACAAAGAAATAAATAATACACATCATAGTAAAATTAATAGGTGAAGACATCATGCATCTTTTTTTTTTTTCCACGGTTGACATAATGTTGGCCGCCCTGGATCTACCGTGAGGTATTGTTCAGGGCGACCAACGTCGCTATAAAACTCCACCACTGTGTTGTGACTCAATTAATCAAGAGCTGAGTCACAATACGACGTGGCCTCCTCTGTTAGCCGGATCCCGGAGTGGGATCTGTTGTACCACGGGGAGGTGGGGATAGAGCTTTGCTGTAGGTTGGCATATAATTCACAACAACACAAATGAAACACGAAGAGGACAGGGATACCATAGGCGGACTTCTCCGGCCTTCCAACCTTTCTGAGACATTCCCCGGTCCGGTGGCCTTCTGTTTTGCACGAGAAGTACGCACCAGTCCGGTTGGGACTCTACAATCCATCTGCAAGTGCCCTCTCTTGAGGCACTAGTAGCAGCGCGGTCCATGTTCCTTGGGACCCGGATCCGACAAGTGCTCCAACCAACCCGGAGTTGTGTCAGCACAACCAAGACATCATGCATCTATAAAAAAAAATTACTATTGATTTGGTCATTTTTAAAAAAGTTATGGCACTTTTAGGTAAAAAAATTGAAAGAATGTCGAAAATTAGCGATTTTTTAATCTGTAATTTTTTTTGAAGATTTTCCCCATTTACATGGAACGAGAGTATTTTTTCATTTTTTGAGGATAATATCTTCGACATGATACGATTTGTGATCTTTTAACGTATCGTTGAAAGAAATCAGTTCGGTGAGAGCTGAGTAAAAGTGGTAACAGACACAAAAATAAAATTAAAAAATAAACACATCATAAAAAAATTAATACCTTCTCAGCTTCGCATCGCCGCTAATAAGATCTTTAGGATTTTATAAAGAGTATCTTTATGATAAAAATAGAAAAATATTTTTTTCTTAATAACTTTTGATAAACTGCATAATTTTATAATAGGTTACTAAGTTCAAACGAAGGTAGTGACTTTGTGAAATGAAGGGTTAGTCAAAAGTTTGCCCCAGTTTTGTATGATCTGAAATGATGAAACTGTTATACCTTAGACACCTATATGGTAATGCGGAAAATGATTTCTATGTAAAACCAAAATCTTATAAAAATTTATGAACACAACCTTTTATTATATCTTTAAAAATTATCTTTTACTTAAATAGTTGAAAAATATTTTTATTTAAACATACTTTACGAGAATGTTCTGTTTCAGTTGTATAGTTTTCATGTTTATAAAGGTTAACAATGTTAACCTAAAATAATATTATATATAAAATAATTCTTTTAACGCTAGTCACTCAATTTTTCTAATAATAACTATTATGTTAAAAAAATTATTATTGAAACTTTTAAGTTTCTTATATTTCTAAATTTTATGGTTATTAAATACTTTTTTAATTCATATCTCACAATGGCTTCAACAATATTTTTTAGTGACAACATACAAATTTAACTACTTTATAAATGAAAAAAAGGTAGCAGAGTGGGGTGGCGGCACAGTGTGGATGTCGCATAAGTGGCTCGAGTATAATGATATCTGACAGTGTTTAAAATCACTATAATAAGAAACGCTTCGATACAAATCTATAGATAGTGTTTAATTCCAAGAAATTGATGGAATAGTCCAACAACTATTATAGAATACTGTAGGATATAACGATAGGGAATATAGTTCTAAATATTTCAATTGTAGCATCTATTTAAATATCAAGAGTTACATAGAAATGTTACTAAGACTTCTATTTAAATGATTTATTACAATAAAAATAGTGGTTTTAATTATAGTAACTCAAAAATAAAATAAAAATATAATAAAATTATTTTATAAAAGTGGAAAAAAGGAGTTACTATTTATTCTAATAATAAAAATTTCTCGGGTATGAGTTCGAGGGTTTATGAGAATGATGAAGAGGTAATAGAAAGACACAGTGATTTTTTTAGTGATCACTCAATCTTTCTTTGTTCCTATGTTAACCATACACTTAAAAAAGTTAATATTTTTAAGTCTTATTAATTTAATTAATTAGTATTTACTTTGATGTTTCCGGAGGACGTCTAAAGAATGAATTAAGTCGTCTCGTTTATTTTAAATAAATCAAGACGTATCTGTTCACTTCTTACACATGAATTAAACGATTGAGATTAATGAGCTGCGTCAATACTGAGAGCACGCCTGGATCGATGAAGAATGAGCCATGGGAGTATACTGACGAGACACTGAGAGCATGCCGAGAGTATACTCCTCATTTTTAGGCCTTTTTTTGTCCCCTTTTATATTGCTGTTTTGTTAATTTTTATAGTTATATTCATATGCAAGAAGTGTCAGAAACGCTATTGTTATCTCTTTATTAAATTATTTATTACGTGTTATTTTAAAAACTAATATACTATTCTAGACAATGATTAATTATTTCATTACAAAATTGACATATCAGTGACAATCCATATTAATATTTATGTGTATTTTATTATTTACATGAAAGTTTTAAATTAATTTAGTTTATGCTTAACAGATAATATTGATTATATTGCCCATATGTGACAATTTATACTTGACAATAGTTATCATAGTTCAATGCTTAGATAAGAATTGTAATGAGAGGTCATTGTATTGTAACATAATGAAGTTTTGAATTTTCCTTATACATTTAATGTTAATAGTTATCATATAAGATAGTAATCATATATCAATCTAAAAATACAAAAACCTTAAATCTTCATAAAATTTTAAACTCTAAACTTTCAAGTAAAGATAAAACTGTATTTGAAAGTTCAAAAATTTTAAAATTATAAAATTTCATATAAGTCAACTTTAAAAGACCACAACAATAGATTAATCATGACATTATATTTAACACATTAAAAATCAATAATAACTCGATGAACATTTTTTCATGAGTAAATACATACTTTCTAATTAGAAATAATCTGAAAATGGAGTGATAGAAAAAATCTAATTTCAGACTTGATATCAGTATAAAAATTTGGTTTAATAAAGTATATATCAGTCAATGATAATTAAAAAATATTTTATTTTAGTAATATGATTATACTATGTAATTCAGTATAAAAACAAATTTTCTACTATTATTAATTAGGAAATAATTAATAATATAAGATCAACATGATTAAAATCATGTCCATTAATATGTTGGTTATTAAAATTAGTTAAGTAACAGCTGAAAAAAATGAATGATCGAAACAAAATCACTATAATAAAATATTTTAATATGAATGAGAAACTTCTTCTCACAAGTTAGTTTTAAGGAAAAAATTTCGAAAATTAATGATCTTTAATTTTGTAATTTTTTTAGGGACTTCCTCAATTACGTGGCACGGAGAATTTTAAACTTATGAGAAAAAAATCTTCAACTAGACACAATTTGTGATTTTTTTCAAAAAATCAAAAAACGAGAAAATTTTCAAAAATAATTGTCTTAACATAATTTATATCTTCAGAGAAACCGAGAGACTAGAGTAAAAAAAAGACTTTGTATCATTAAATGGAAATAAAAGAATTTGTAAATAAGTTATGATATTTTACAGTATCATTTATAAAAACATTTTATTTTATACCATTTTACACATTGTATGGCAAATAATCAATGATATGAAGAGGTTCAAAAGGTAAATCATATTTAGAGGGACAGTATTTTGTATCTTTATCAATTTCTTTATAGTCATCTTTTAGATTCTTTATATAATATTCCACAATTTCCATATCTTTAAAATATCCTATATTAATATTATTGCTATCATTCTTACTAGCATTGTATATTTCAGAATGTGCCTCAGTATTACAAATATGATCTAAAATAAATAAATGAGGATTTTAAAATTGCATAAATAACAAATAACTTCTAAAAACATAAACATAATAAAGATTTCAAATAAAAATTTTTATCCGCATTTAATTTATTTTTAAAAATAGATTTTAAAATCATTTAATAACGAAAAAAACTGTATAGATAAACATATTAAAATTAAATAAATTAAAATTAATTTAGACTTGGATGGTTTGGTCAAGTTATGAGGAGAGAGGAATCGGAAATCAAAGTTTAGTGACAATATGCGAGGACGTGATAGGATAGGTGGAAAGTTTTAAGTATTTAGGATCAGTTGTGCAAAAGAGCGGTGGTATTGACAAGGATGTAAGACATGAGATTAAAGTAGAGAAAAGCGTCTAGCGTGTCTAAAGAATTCCGATGAGGCTGAAGAGTAAACTCTATAAAACTACAGTGAGACCAGCTATGATGTATGGATTCAGAGTGTTAGGCAGTTGACAAGAAAGTAGAGCAGAAAATAAGTGTAGAAGAGATGATAATGGATAGATGAATGAGTAGAGTAACTATACGAACGAACGAAAATATAAAAGGTAGTATATGTGAGTCGTCAATCGTAGAAAAGATAAGAGAAAATAGACTTGGATAGTTTGGTCAAGTTATGAGGACAGAGGAATCGGAAACTATAAGAACAGATTTAGAAATAAATGTTAAAGGAAGAAGAGGTTAAAGGAAAAACCAAAACTGAGATGATTTGAATATCTTTGAATGTTATATGAGGACGGATGATGTGGGTGATCGTATCAAGTGTAAGTTTAGGATAAGGGTGGCCGACCCCAAGTAGTTGGAATTAAGGCGAAGAAAAATAAGAAGAAGACTTCATATTATAAACCCGATGACAACACAAGGGCTAAATATATAACAGATCATATTATCTATAAATCATATAAAGTATTGAAAAAGAACTACATTTATACTTACCTAAAACTTTAAAATCAATAAATTTCTTAAATGTTGAAATATTAAAAAATTGGATTTTAAATTTTCGTACATTAAAATTTAAATATATATTCCATTTTTCTAAATCCTTCATATAGATATCAACTTTTTCAATAATTTTTTTTAATTGATTTTTAATGTAATCAGCATTATCCACAGTAATATTTTTATTGGTTAAAACTATACCACTTGTAAAGTAAAATTTACTTTTGATGAAGAAATTTGAAAGTGTTTTGATTAATATATTATTATTTTCAATATCAGTTTTAGATAACCTTGTTTTTTCAATGTAATTTTTATTGGCTTCAACGAACTTTACTAAAACGTCACGTTGTAAAAATGTTTTTTTATATTGGTAAGGGGAGAGAGTTATGAATTTCTTTACATGTTCTATTATTTTTTGTCCCATCTCAATAAATTGCGGTTTTAACCAAACTGTTACACTATCAGAATTATCTGAAGAAGCAACTTGAATTAATATTAAGAAGTTGCGAATAAGAATAGCTAAGGGTCGAAACGTAGCCGAAATTACCAACTTTATGTACGGTAAAACATCCATAGAATTAAAATCATATTTCATATACTGAAATACATCTTGTATAGTTAAACGAATATCCTTAGAGCATTGAAAGTCAAGTGGAGTGAATCGAAGTAGATTTAGTTCTATGTGTTGACTATTATCTATGCTTAGGGTCATTATATCGTAAAACAAAAAAATTTTTGGATGATATTTGTTGTATGAATTCGATTTTAATGAAGACTTAAATTTATCCAGCATTCTATCTTTGAGTTTATTATTTATATTTATTAGATTTTTCATATTATATCCGTTTTCACCGATTGTAGGATTGCAACTAACCATATTATCCTTAAACGGTATGTTTACACAACTATTATATATGTAAATTTCCAGTTGATTTTTAACTGCAAAATGAATAATTTTATATCCCTCTAATAATTTTTTAGCGTCATTTTTTTCACCATCTTTGTTTTGAGCAATCATATTTAAAGAATCAGAAACGTTATTTAAGTACATATTTAACGTCATCAATGTAAAAGGAAACGTTTTTGATCTACATACAAAAAATTCATTCAAAAATATCATAATTACTTCACTGTGTGTTTGAAGTGCTTTGCCATAGTTCATAAGAATTTCTATTGTTAAATTATTATTATTTTTCTCGATTTCTAACAAAAATCTTTCATTATGGTTAAAAAAGTTTAGAAAATAACGAGAATATGAACACTGTGCCGGTTTTTCATATCTACTTAAGCTTAATTTTAAGGATATCATTAATATGAAAAGTAAAAAAATTTTCATTTTACCACTTATTTATATTAAGTTGATTCCCTGCAGAGTTCAACTTAAAAAAAATGTCGACACTAGTTGCAATATGAATATTAAGTATTATTCATATGAATTTTCTAATATAATCAAAATTTATTTATTAGTTTTTGGAAAAAAAATTTATTTTTATTCAAGTATACGTGTTCATCATACAACATATTTACTTAATTATTCCGATGACGTAATTATCATATCTATACACAGTTTAATTGTAATGCTCAAATCGGTATTTTTACCTTTGTTATTAACTGTTTCGCAAATACACTAAAAATATAAAAAATAAATAATTTATTTCAACCAACTACAATATTTATCTTATTTTAGCTTCAATTCAAAACTAGGAAGATTTTGATTTTGCGATCATATGCATTTAGATTTTTCGTCAACACTAATTTTTATAATATTACTAATTAGTTATAGAAATAAAAAAAAAATGTTAACACAAAAATAGCATATTTAATAACTACGAAAATCATTTGCAAGTTGATGATAAATCTTCAGGGAAATTTTTTTTTTATAATTTATATTATGTAACAAGCTTTAATTTAACATATGTTAAAAGGACGTAGTATTTCTTTAACATTTTAAAAAGTTAAATTTAATAAGTTCTAAATTTTATACGTATGTTTCAAGTTTTGTATGCCCCCTGTATAAAGGAAAATTGTTTAATTAAGTAAAAATTATGTTAAATGAAAGAGGTATATACACTGTATTTAGAAAAAAAAATTCATTTTGATCCATACATTGTTCAAAAAGTTATAGCAATTTAAAGTAAAAAATATAAAATGAACATATTAACACAAAAATAGCATGTTTTTAATTACGGCAGAACAAATTTATTTTTAAATTTATATTACATAACAAAAACTTTATTTTAACATATGTTGAAAGGACGCAGTATTTCCGGAACATTTTCAAAAGTTAAGTTGAAAAAATATAATTTAGTAAAAAAGTCTATTGTTATTTTGAATACTTCCCTGTAGATAAGTGAAAAATCAAATTTTGAAAAAAATTATATCAAATAAAAAGGAAATACCTATTGTTTCTTTAAAAAAAAAAAATTATCTTGATTTGTTAATTTTTGAAAAAGTTTTGGTAGTTTCAAGANGAAAAAAATTATATCAAATAAAAAGGAAATACCTATTGTTTCTTTAAAAAAAAAAAATTATCTTGATTTGTTAATTTTTGAAATGTTTTGGTAGTTTCAAGCAAAAAATGTCGAGAATTACTGATTTTCAAAATTAATTTTTTTGGAGATTTTCACCATTTACGGGGAACAAGGTAAATTTTATAATTTGTGATCGTTTGACGTATCGTTGAATAAAATCGGTCCAGTGAGAGATGAAAAAAAATGGTAAAATCCACAAAAAAAAAAATCGTAGTATAATTAATACTATTTCGGCTTCGCATCGAACCTAAAAATGATCTAATTAAAAAATTTTAGGTCGATAACAATTTAAAAAAATTACATTTGCAGTTTTTGCCATTTTAAAATATATACTGAAAAAGTGGAGTAGATATGACAATATTTATCATTAGACATTACTCAGTCAATTTTATAAAAAAATGTATTCAGACTCTTTTTTAAAACAAAACTATTTACTGCAATATTGATTTTATACAATTTTTCTAATTATAATATTAAAAAAAATTTGTCCTGACACCTTTTCTTTTATGGGAAAATGGGCGTCGAATTTAACCAAAAAAATTTTTTATGTAAAAATCACTGTTTAACATGAAATATTTTAATACTTAAAACTGCCATAACTTTTTGAAAAATGAACATATCAATATAAATCTTTTTTATATAGATGCATAATATCATTACCTTTCATTTTGTATATTTTTTTCATAAATTTAACCCTTAACCTGCCCACAAAGGGGGATTTAAAATGACAACTTTTTCACAAAAAATTAATTTTTTTAACTTAAATTTTGAAAATGTTCCGGAAGGTCTGACACTTTTATATATATCTTAAATTAAAGCTAATGTAATATACTTTATTATGGTAAAAAAAAATTTCGGACTTTATCTTATCTTCATGGTGAAAATGGCTACCGAATGCTATTTTTGTGTGAAAATTTTCGATTNAAAAAAAAATTTCGGACTTTATCTTATCTTCATGGTGAAAATGGCTACCGAATGCTATTTTTGTGTGAAAATTTTCGATTTTGTATTTTCCATTTTTAACTTTATTATGCTATAACTTTTTGAAAAATGTATGAATCATTACAATTTTTTTATGAGAAGTAGTATTTATATAGATCTTTCATTCGACATACTGTTTTTTTAAATCGGACCATTTCCCTAAATACAGGGGGAATTCAAAACATAAAAATGCTTTTAAAAAATTCTTTTTTATATTTTTAACTTTATAATGCTATAACTTCTCGAAAGATGTATGGATCAATATAATTCTTTTTTTTGTAGATGCATGATGTCTTTACCTATCATTTGGT